CTCAGTAAAATAAATTGCAGACTGACCCTTCACTACAATGTATCTTCCCTGCTATTACTGTGGATGAACAGCCCATTCCTCCCAAGGCCATTCCTGCCCTGGTGGATTAGACCTACCTATAAACACCTCTCACTTTACTCCTGAATCCTCATCTTTCTCTCTGTTCAACTGTCCAAACATGATTTTGCTTGGCCCATTTTAAAACACCCTCTTTATGCCATCATCCTCCAGCTACAACCCCATTTCTTGAGCTACTCCAGTTAAGATCCTAACCTCTCCACTACACTGAAACCACTGTAGCCAAACCCCCAGTGACCTTCTCCTTGAGAAGTCAGCCATGGGTTCCTATCCCAGCAGCAGCAGGTGTCGCCCGCCCTTCCTCCCTCTGTATGTGGCAGCTTCACGCTCTCCTGTGCTCCTTTTGCCCCATGGCTCCTTCCTTCTCAGGTTCTTTGGCTGGATCTTCCTCATTTCTGAACTCTTCTTTGTCCTGTCTATGCCTGCTGCCTGGGGGTGCACGTCTTCTGTTCATGGTGACACCCACACTGTGCGTCCAGTTGGACTCACCCTCACCTCTGAACACCTCCTCTGTTTCTCCGCCCCACGGCCACACCTCACACAAAATGCCCAAAGCTGAGCTCTTGCTCTGCCTCCGCAAACACGTTCTACTGGAAACTGTCCCCGTTTCATTCCATGGCATCTCAGGCCAGAAAATCTTTGAGTCCTCTGGGTCTGCCCTTCTTCTCACACCCACATCCAATCCAGAATTGGATCTGGACACTCTCACACACCTTCCCCCAGAGCTTCACCCCGTGGTCGCCGGATCCAGTCCAGCCTTCTCCCTGGACTCCTAGCCTCAACCCTTGGCCTTCAGCTCATTGTCTACCCAGCTGTCACTAAGTCAGGTCGCGTCACTCCTCCGCTCCATCACAGACACGTCTTGGATCCCTGGGCTCCCACGGGCTTGCCTGGCTCTTCTTCCAGGCGTCTCTCCTTCACCCCAATGGAGGAGCTTCTACTCCAGCCTCATTTTCTCTGTGAAACACTCCAAATGCTTCCTTTGCGTTTTAATTTTTTCCCCTCATAGCATTTTTCATCCTCTAAGATACTATTTATTTTACTCATTTTTAAAGTTTATTGTCCTTTTCCCACCATAATTCACTTACCATAAAGGCAGGTTTTTTTCTGTTTTATTTAGCTCTATATAGCTGCAAGGAAGAACTTCATATATAATTGTTAAGAGAATAAATGACTATTCTTCTCCTATTTATCAGCAAGCCACTCTGCTGCCCTGCACCTGGCCCTGGTCCATGCTCTGCTTACCCTCATACCTGCTGGCATCACTCCCAGCCTCTGTCAAGCTTCGACTCTTCCCAGCAGACAGTACTCTCCCACTTCCTGTTTCCTGAGTCCTTCTGCTTCTCACCCTGAGTGACAGTTGTTGTATTTGCACCCTCACTTCCCTTCTACACTAAGCTTCTAAGAGCCCCACCACATCTGTGGGGTCTCACTCAGCACCAGCACGATCTCTTGTAGCCGGCAGGCCCAAATAATGCCTGCAGGAACAGGCTCAGAGAGATTAAGTGGTCTGTTAAAGCCCCGCGGCTGACGGTGACAGCCAGGAGACTCACGGCAAAGTCCCCACTCTGTGCAGCCACACTGGCCACCTTTGGAGAGAGCCCCTGGCACACTGTTCTCCCCACTGAGGCTGCCCAGCTGATGCATGTAGTAATGTGTGGGGCGTGCTGTGCTCTCGGTGCAAGGAGCCTCCGTATTAATTTTTTGTCCTAGGTGTCTGTGGAGGCACTTGGGAACACTGGTGATTGAATTAGGAGGGTGGACTGCACGATTATGTCACCAAAGGTGCACCTGCTGGAGAGACTGAGGGAGAAGTGCAGCCTTTACTGTAGGGAGTGCAGCTATTGTTCACAAGACATGGTGTGATAATAGCTATTTGCAGCTAACACGTTGTCAAAAGCCCAGAAATAGCAAAGTTAAAACTACTAAGTCAATAAAATAGTAAGAGTTTTTGGTGCACATAAGAACAATTCACAAACTGGGGGCTCTTAAACAAACAGTGGAAAAAAGCTCAGACAGCTTATAGTGAAAATGTAGAGGTTGGTTATTCTTTATAATTATTTCTTATAGCATTAGAATTTTCCCAGTGATAGCAGATTGGTTAAATGTGGTTACCTCATGCCAAATTTGTGGAACAGCTTAAGTTTCATTTATGATTTTCAGAGGCATTTACAAGAAGTGGCCTAAGCTAAGTTTCGTTGTTTTGCAGAGGAAGCTAAACTAAGTTTCAACTATGTGGCTTAATTGGTTTTATCTGCTCAGGGAATTTTCAAGTCTGGTCTCCATTTCATAGTTAATTTTAATAACTCCCCCCTTTTGGTCATTCTCTCACCAACCAAACTGAGAGTATGAACAACTAGTATAGTGTTACTCTCAGCTGCCTCTGTTGACTTAGATCAGACAGTCATGTAGCCACTGCTGTCAACCATTGAGTTGTCAGTACAGTCATCATCATTTGCATAGCCGTCAGTGAATCATTCCAGCTGTCCGATCCCAGTGGATACCGTTTGACTTGTGACTGGCTGCCAAAATGCATGTAAAGCCCTGGAGAGGATGCAAGGCACTGGAAAGGTTAATATGATGACCACATGGAGAATAATAGCCAAAGATTGAAAAATTCCTCAGCGCAGGGATTTCCAGGTGTCATGGTTTAACCAACTAAATAAATCAAATGGTTTACAATCAGATTCAGGTTTTACTTTTCTAAGTCCATCTATAGTTTCCTGGATAATGTGTTTCAATTTTTTCTGAGTTATTTACATAGGCACACATGATGCATCAGCACTTACGTATACTCATGATTATTCAGGACAGGATGAACACGGCAATATTTTATTTGGGGAGGCGGTGTTGCAGGTGAACCTCTACCTAAATTAGGCCTCTAGATGGTGTAATGTGAACAATCAGGTGATTTAATAAGAGGCATCTGTATAAAAGAAAAGCGAAGGCTAATAGAACAAATTATAAACTCAGTTGTTGAGTTCGGAGAGCATCTCAGTGGAGAAAATTTCAAAATTTGAGTTTGAAGCATCTTTAGATGGCAGAATGAGGCTGACAGTTTCAATCTGAAGGATTTTCCTGGTTTGCAGTTTGTCTTTGATGATATCATCGGGTGTTCCTGTAACCCTCTTGAGAGGGGACCATGCAGAAACAGGCATGAAGGTTGTCCATACAGGATCTGTTGCGGAGGTTTTCCTGAAGTTTACAGGCAGATAACAAAACTCCAAAGACAATTAACAGGACTAGAATCTGATGAGTACGTTATAGTTTTCTACTGAAAGATAACTTTTTTCTATAGTCATCCATCTTTCTCAAAGATGATTACTGTGAAACTAATTTGTAGAAGAAGTCTAGTTTTATTAAACTTGGCTTGATTACTTACATAAATGTAAGAAGGACAATGATTCTATGCATATTCTCAATTATGACATTCCAGTTAAACCTTTGGTAATATCCAAGGGGCATTATTGGCTCTGTGAAGTCAATCTTAGATCTTTAAAATTGTCTGGTAATAAGGAATCTGCGATTTGACCTTTGAAAGTCTCTTTTAGGCTAAGAAGCCAAGCTAAGAATTTAAATTACAAGGAAAACAGGTTACAAGGGAAACAGATTCTTACTGAATTTTGTAAATACCTATATTGTTATAAAAGATTAGAATATTTAATAAGAGCCTCTGGAGGGATTCTGGAAGGATCAGGTAGGGAAAAAAAAAAGATAAATGTTTCAACCTTTGTTTGCCTTGAAGCCAGGTGTGGCTCCACATTGGAATTTGCTCACCTCACCTGCCTCAGCCGTGAATGGTGACAGTTCCAGGAAAGTCCTCCAGAATGGTGCATTTGCTCTCAGTAAAAAACATCTTCATGAAATACATGCCACTGGTCAAATGCCTTTGGTAGTAAAAGGAGCATCAGTGCTGTGAGACTGACAAACACCAGCTTTAGTCATTGACACATGCATTGTGGTGGCAGTCAAGCTGATAACCAGAGCTCACAGTTTTTTTTAATGTTCATGTTTTGTTCTTCATCTCCAAATAAAAATCTAAAACCCCTACCAAAATCCCAATAGTGTTTTTTGCAGAAATAGTAAAATTAGTCCTAAAATTCAAATGGAATCTCGAGGGACCCAAGAATAGCCAAAATAATCTTGAAAAAGAACAAAGATGGAGGACTCACACTTCCTGAATTCAAAACTTACTACAAAGCTGCAGTGATCAAAGCAGTGTAGTCCTGGCATAAAGACAGACTTATAGATGAATAAGATGGGTGGGGAGGGGAGAGAAGGGAAGGCAAAGGAAGAGAGAATAGAATCGAACAGAATAGAATAGTAGAGTAGAGTGGCCATAAATAAACCCTCACAAACAGAGTCATACAATTTTTTTCAAAGGGTGTCAAGACCATTCAGTGGGGAAAGGACAAATGGTTTCAACAAATGGTTCTGGGGAAAACTGGATAACCCCACATGGAAGAAAAATGAAGTTAGACTTTAACTTATACCACATACAAAAATTAATTGAAAATGGATCAAAGACCTAAATGTTAGAGCTAAAAGTATAAAATCTTTAGAAGAATTCACAGGGGAAACGCTTCATGATGTTGGAACAGATGTTTGGGGTACAAATATCTGTTCCAAGTTTCTGCTTTCAATTGTTTTGTGTATATAGCCAGAAGTGGAGTTTCTTTAGACCATTGTTTTAAGGTGCAGACTCACAATTTCTGGAGCACAGGGGACAAAGTTGATAAAATGAATACATAAAGGTGATATAGTAAATATATATTTTGACTTCTCTTTCTTCTCCCCCAATCCCACCTTCAAATAATCTTATATTTTATACACATTAAGAAGAAATATATCTACTATGCTGTACGGTGACACGATGAGAACTCAGAGTGCTTCCTGAGCCGAACATGTGCCTTTGTTCCTAGGCAAGGTTGCTTTGCATACTGCAGGCATGCCCTGGGTTACGTGGTGCCCGCCCAAGGCCGAGACGCTGGAGGACCTGCAGGCCAGGACCAGTGCAACAGGGTCCCATGCCAAACCCCAACCCGTACCCACTCTTCACCTGCCGCTACTAGAACCTGGCCACTTGGCGGGTGGTGGTAGGCGGCCCCATGTACTGTTGAATCTCTTAGCCAGAATTACCTGGAACTTGTGGAATCTTTTAAGAAACAAAGGCAAATCTTGCAATGTGAATTCACTTTTTTTTTAAATAAGTGTATTCTTCTGCCATTTTTAAGACAAGTTTTCTGTTAATGAGGCATTCCATTTTCCATTAATAAAAGTTTATGGTTAGCAAAAATAAATAAATAAATAATTGAAATTTCTACTCTCAAACATTGAGTGGACCTCAGCAGACAGGTCCCTCTCTGCAGAAAGCAAGTTCAGTTTAGATTAAAAAAAAAAAATTATTGTGTTTACATAACATAAAGAAATTCTACTTATAGCCTCAAAACTGTTCTTGCACAAGCATTGGGAAGATACCTTCAGTGTCTTCTGCAGACATTTCTTCTTGGTTTTGGTGAAGATACATTTCTCCCTTTTTCTCTTGGACCTCACATCTGCTCATGGGTGTTGGGCTGACTAGCACTGTGTTTTGTCGCTAGGTGCAAGAAGAAAAGTGTCCCATTTTGAAGGGTCTCACATGTGAGGTCTTTATGGACATTCGTGCTGCCACTCAGAAAGGGACTTAAGATTTCATAATGGTCTGCAGACATATGCTGAGGAACACAGATACAGAAGGAGGGTCACTGTTGTTGCCATACTCACACAAATGCTGGAACTGTTCTCTGAGATCCCTCTTCCTGTCCAAGGAAGCTGCCAAGCTAATCTTGCAAGGTGAAACACATGACAAAGCCAGCCAAAGCCAGATAAGCGTCTGAGGCCCTGTAGGTGGCGCCAAAGTCCAAGGAACGCTCACAAAATTCCAGCAGGCTCTATTTCCTCCACTCTTTAAGGACCCTCTTCATATAGTTCTGGAAGCCTCAGAACCAGCCCTCTGATAACTGGACTGGGAACCTTTTCAGTTTATTGATTTCAAAAGGACCTGGGCAGAGATGAGAAGAGTTCCATACTTATCTATTAAGTTCATCTGGTGTCCCTGTCATTTAAGGCCAGTGTTTCCTTATTGGTTTCGTCTGGATGATCTGTCCATTGATGTAAGTGGAGTGTTAGCATTCCCTACTATTACGGTGTTACTGTCAATGTCTCCTTTATGTTTATTAATATTCTCTCTATATATTTAGGTGCTCCTATGTTGGATTCATATATATTTACAATTGTAATATCTTCTTGTTAGATCAATCCCTTTATCATTGTGTAATGTCCTTCTTTGCTTCCTGATTTGGTTTTTATTTTAAAGTCTCTTTTGTCTGATATGAGTATTGCTACCCTGGCTTTCTTTCAATTCCCATTTGCGTGGAATATCTTTTTGCCATTCTCTCACTTTCAGTCTGTGTGTGTCTTTCAATCTGAAGTGGGTCTCTTGTGACAGCATATATACAGGTCTTGTTTTTGTATCCCTTCGGCCACACTATGTCTTTTGATTGGAGCATTTAGTCCATTTACATTTAAAGTAATTATTGATAGGTACATGCCTGTTACCATTTTACTAATTGTTTGGGGGGTTATTTTTGTAGTTCCTTTTTGTTCCTTTCTTCTTCTTTTGCTCTCTTCCCTGGTAATTTGATGACTGCCTTAGTGCTATGTTGGTTTCCTTTCTTTTTTGTGTATGTATCTATTATAGATTTTTGGTTTATGGTTACCATGAAGGGTGTGTGTGTGTGTGTGTGTATTTATATATATTTGTTTTTAAGTCTCTGATCTCTTAAGTTTAAATGCATTTTAATGATGCGGCATTTTACTCCCTCCCACCATGTTTACTATTTTTCACTTCATATTTTACATCTTTTGTTTTTTGTATTCCTCAACTACTTATTGTGGATACAGATGATTTTGCTACTTTTGTCTTTTAACCTTCCTACTATTTTTATACCTTTTCTGTATATTTGCCTTTATCAATGAGATTTTTCCTTTTGTAGTATTTTGTAGTATTTCTAGTTGTGACTTTTTCTTTTCCACTCAAAGAAGTTTCTTTAACATTTCTTATAGAGCTGGTTTGGTGGTGCTGAACTCTTTTGGCTTCTGCTTATCTGTAAAACTTTTCTTTCTCCTTCAAATCTGAATGAGAGCCTTGTTGGGTACAGTATTCTTGGTTGTAGGTTTTCCCCTTTCATCACTTTAAGTATATTGTGCCACTCCCTTCTGGCCTACAGAGTTTCTGCTGGAAAGTCAGTGATAGCCTTATGGGAGTTCCTTTGTATGTTACTTGATGCTTTTCCTTAGTTGCTTTTAATATTCTCTTTAATTTTTCCCATTTTAATGACAATGTGTCATTGTGTGGTCCTCTTTAAGTGGATTCTATTTGGGACTCTCTACACTTCCTGGACCTAAATGTCCGTTTCCTTCCCCAGATTAGGGAATTTTTCAGCTATATGTCTACAAATATGTTCTCTGCCCCTCTCTCTCTCTCTATTCTTCTGGAACCTCTATAATGCAAATATTCATGTGCTTGATGTTGTCCCAGAGGTCTCTTAAACTGTCTTCATTTCTTTTTGTTCTTTTTTCTGTTCAGTGGCAGAGATTTCCACTGTTCTGTCTTCCATTTTGTATTCATCTCTGTTTGGTTCTTCTTTATGTTTTCTAACTCTTTGTTAATAACTTCTAACTTTGTTCATCCATTCTTCCCCCAAGTTCTTTGAACATCTATCTTTACAATAATTATATTGAACTCTTTCTAAGGAGGATTGCTCCACTTCACTTAGTTCTTCTTTCTAGGGTTTTGTCTTTTTCCTTCATCTGGAACATGTTCCTCTGTCACCTCACTTTGACAATTTGTTATTTTTATTTCTATGTATTTGTTAAGTTGGTTATGTTTCCCAAACTTGGAGAAGTACCTTAGGTAGGAGATGTTCTATGCATCCCAGCAGCACACTTCCCTCTGGTCAGCGGAACTATATGCTCTAGGGGTGCCCCTTATGTGGGCTGCGTGGGTCCCTCTGTTGTGTTGCACTCTCTATTGTGGGTGGTCTGGCTGGCCCCAGTTTGGTTGGTTGCCAGGCCTTGCTTTGTGCAAGGCTGTGAGGTCATAAGGAGGCTAACTACAGAGCCCTGGGACATCCTGGAGCTAGTGCTTGCCCACTGGTGAGGCAGAGCCAGGTTCTGGGGTGGGTGATTATAGGTCCAGGAGTCCCAGTCTGGTGTTGGCCTGCTGTTGGGTGGGGTCAGCTCCTGACATGGCTGACTGCAGGGCCCAGGGTGTTCCAAAGCTGGTCTCAGCCTGCTGGTGGATAGAGCTGGATCCTGGGCCAGATGGCTGAGGGGCCCAGGGGGTTCTGGGTCTGGTACTGGCCTGCTGGTGGGTAGGCTGGCTCCTGAAATGGCAGGCTGCAGGGTTGGAGTGGTCCTGGCGCTGGTGCCTGCTTGTTGTTGGGCAGAGCCAAGTCCTAGGGCTAGTGTCAGCTCCCTGTTGGGTGGAGCCAAGTCCTGGGGTCTCTGGCTGCAGGGATTTGGGGGTTACAGAGTTGATGTGTCAGCCCGCTGGTGGGTAGGGCCAGGGTCTAAGGGTTCCTGGGGCTTGTGCCTACCTACTGGAGGGTGAAGCTGGTCATGAGGCCAGTGTCAGCCCACTGGTGGGCAGGGCCAGGTCTTAAGCCCTCTGGTGGACAGGGCCAGGTCCCAGGGCAGCTGCTGGCTCAGGGAGTCTTAAGACAACTATCCTGCCAGTGGGTGTGGTTGTGTCCCTGCTCAGCTGGTTGCTTGGCCTGAGGTGTCCCAGTACTGGTGCCAACAAGCTGATGGGTGGGGTCAGGTCTGAGTGCTAACAAGCTGGAGGGAGGGTTCCAAGATGTTACCTGCCAGCACCAGTGTCCTTGTGGTAGAGCAAGCTCCTGCTAACAGTGTCTGTCCCCAGGGGGAGCTGCAGTTGCCTCCTGCCTCTGGGAGACTCTCCAAAATCAGTGGGTATGTCTGACCCAGGTTCCTTTCAAATTAACTGCTTCTGTCCATGATCTTGTGAGATTTTGTGTACACCCTTTAAGAGTGGAGTCTCTATTTCCCACAACTCTCTGGGTCTCCTAAATGTAAGCTTTGCTGGCCTTCAAAGTGAAATGTCTGGAGGCTTATCTGCCTAGTTTAGGACCCCCAGGCTGGGGAGACTGATGTGGGGCTTGGACCCCTTACTCCTTGGGGAGAACCTCTGCAATTGTAATTATTCTCCCACTTGTGGGTCACCCATTTGGGAGGATGGGTCTTGACTACAACGTGACTCTGCCCATCCTACCCTTCTCGTCCTGTTTCCTTCTTTATATTTTTAGCTGTAGAACATATTTTCTGCTAGTCTTCTGATTTTTCTTGTCAGTAGTTTCTCTGTACCTAGTTGCAATTCTGGTGTGCCCGTGGGAGAATGTGAGCTCAGGGTCTTCCTACTCTGCAATCTTGTCCACCCTCCTCCCCGTGTGATCTTTCCTGAATTCCAAGAGTGAGTGGCCAAGCTCTTATCTGGCCCTACAGTGCAGGCACAATGGAAGATTTCAGCCTCCCAAAACCGTAGATGATGATGTTGCTAAGATTTCTGTATCTGCATAACCAGGTCTCCCCTCTCCTAATTTCCTGTCACATCTTCCTTACTTCCTTGAGTCCTGGCTCTTAGTGTCCTAGTGTCCTCAAGGTTTAGATTTCTACTAACAGGCTGCTCAAGGCAAATTACAGTTTCTCCAACACATTACTCAAAATCATTCCAGCTGCCACTATGTGGAGGCCACTCCCACTTTTTAGGTTATGGGAGAACCTCTGTCACCGTACTCAAATCTGCATTAATTATCTGTTGCTGAATTACTAATCATCCAAACTTGGTGGCTTAAAACAACACCCATGTATTATCTCACAGTTTCTTGGTCTTGGGGTCCAGATGTAGTTTAGTTAGTTCAGTTTATCTTACCACTTCTCATATCACTCACCCAGGTTCTTTGGCTATTGCCAGAAACGTCAGGTCCTTGCCACATGTGCTAGTTGTGTAAAAGAGAGTATTTAAATAAGTGCCTTC